GGCTGGCAGATACCTATGATGTGTGTACAAATCCCAAACTGCAGTACAGCGTGAACCTCATTTTAGGACCCAGGATTAGACTTCCCCAGAGGGGAAATCAGTATAACTGAGAACTGTGATAACGTACCCTTTAAAATTTTTTTCCGTTTGAGCAAGTGGTTGAGAGGAGGGGAAGGAGGCAGCTGCAGTGGCCTTTGACCCCCAGAAACTTTTCCAAGAGGATTGCATCATGGGAATTTATTCAGTATGCTTTGAGGAGGTATTTCAATCCTGCTGGGACCATACTCAGAGCAATTTTTGGCTTCCCTAGAGTTCTAAGCTTGAATGTCATATATAGCTTGAATGTCTGTTATATAGAGGTATAGTATTTTATTCTAAGCTTGAATGTCTGTTATATAGAGGTATAGTATTTTATCTCCTAACCAGTTGTTCCTTCTCATGGAAAATTCATGTAACACGTTATTGGATTTCCTTAGAGGTATGCAATAAGATTCCCTTCCTTACTGGAATGAGAAAAGGAACGTTTTTTCCTGTAGCACATAATGATAACTGCTATTTTTATTCAGTGGGTTACATATGCTCCCCAGCTATGCTCTGAACACTAGCCACAAACAAAGGAATGCCCTCTTGTTTCCCAGCGAAGGAGGTTTGATGATAAAAGTCTGGGTTTCATTCCTGGGATAACATGGCTTTACTTCAGACAAATGTGTTTCAAACAGGAGTCACTGCTCTGCTCCCAGCCATTAAAGAATGGCACTCAAATGTCTATCTGAGCCTCTAAGATGTGAGGTCTGAGTGCTGAGGTCACACAAAAGTTTCAATGGAATTCTTACCCCCAATTCTAAATGTGGGAGCATCAGCTAGAAAAAATAAGTTTGAGTGATTCTGATTTAGTATATGAACCAAACATTTAGAGTTATATGTCCCTGAATCAAAATGGCTTAAGCCGCTCTTCTCAAACGTGGCTACACCTTGGAATCACCTAGTGAGTTAAAAACAAAAAATGACACCTGGGTCCCACCTCCAGAGATTCTCATTTAATTGGTATGGGGTGCTGCCCGGCATCGGAATTTTTAAAAGCTCCTGGGCGATTCTAATGTGTATCAAAGTTTGAGAACCAGTGTTTTAAGCTGTAAGTTGAAGTGATAAAGAGAAACAATGGGTCAGTAGAAACCAAGAGGTAGAAGAAACATATGCAGAGTGGAAAGGGATATAGGGTAAATAAAAAAGAAAAAAACCCAAACTCATTGCTGTCAAGTCGACCCCTACTCATAGCGACCCTATAGCAAGAGGAAAATTCAGGAGGCATGCCAATAGAGATAGGGCATAGAGCAAAGCCTCGTCGACGTGGAGAACAAAAGCGGAAATCTGTAAACTCCTGAGGCTGAGGTTCCAAGACCTGTCTTGGATTCAGAAAGGTCTCTTGGGAAGGGTCACTTTGTTTCTCTTTAGTGCTGTATTAGTGAAGGTGGGATTTTTTCAAGTTCGGTAAATGATGTCATTGCTGAAAATGCGTGTGCACAGGGGAAGGTGGTTGTCAATGGGCAGCACTTGTTCTCACCCTCCCTCATGAACATTTGTAACCTGAGCAGTAACCACATGCCATTGCTCCATGAGTTCATTTGAACCAACAGGTGTTGGTGCCGTCCAACAGTCTGGAATGGGTAAAAACATACCCATCATACTGCAGTTGCCGTGTTCACTCTGCTTGTTACAGTGTAACGTCTGGGTGGTGCCCACATGAAACAAGCCATGAAAGAAGGATGGCTTGCTGCCACTGAACTCGTTTAACCTACCAGGCCATTAACATGAAGACCATTTCAAGAGGTACTAGAGTGGAACAAGCACCTGAGCATCTATCTATCCTTAAGAAATATTAATTTACTTCATCCCCTTATTTTTTAACATTAGAGTTTGTATAGCCTTAACATAAGCCCCACATTCCTTGAAAGTGACGGGTAGAGAAATGATTTCAGGAAAGGATAGTTAAATACCACCTAGTGTCACAAGTCCTTAATGGGAAATTAGATTTTTAAAGGTCCTCCAAGTGTTTGTCCTCTTCTGGACAATTCCACTCTTTTACTGTCCCTCTTCCTTCTGGATTATATATATTTTTATGCCTTACTTAATTATACCCGCTCCATGATCACAGCCGTCCTGTTAAGGTCCTGGAGAAAAGTCTTATAGTATATGTTTGGGGGCACTAATGAACCCTAAGCAGGTTGTTAACCTTCAAAAGACAAAGAGAAACCCCTGGTTCCATCTGACTTCAGATGAACAAGAGGGTTCTTTGACCATTGTTTATTAAAGTGGCTGCCTCAAATATGTATTTGTTGCCACCCTTCTCTTCATGGGTATGTTGCCTTGGGTGTCTTAGAGTGTGGCAATTTTGAAGAGCCCAGTTAGTCTTTAGGAGTCTGTGGGTGGTGCAAGTGGTTAAGTACTTGACTACTAACTGAAAGGTTGGTGGTTCGAACCCACCCAGGGACGCCTCAGAAGATAGGCCTGGCAATGTGCTTCTGAAAGGTCACAGTCTTGAAAACCCTATGTAGCAGTTCTACTCTGCACACAGAAGGTTGCTGAGTCAGAATCGACCCAACTGCAACTAACAACAGTTAGTCCTTAGGAGTCCCTAGGTGGGGCAAACGCAGAGGTGGGTAATCCAACAGGCAAGGTAAGCACGGTACATTCCTTGCTTACCAGATCATCCATAGTGAAATTGTTCACTGCAGATTAGTAAGTAAGCATAAGTAAACCCGTGCTTACCTTGTGACTGGGTCATCCGCCCCTGTCAGGGATTGTAAATTTGAAAAGAGGCTTTGATTCTATAGGAACATGCTGTGGGGTTGAGAGAGAGACAGAAGCCAGCTATATCTAGAAGCAGAATCTTTGATATGGTGAAAAAATGTAAAATTGTTCACTACAGATGATTTGGTAAACAAGATTAGTACCATGCTTACTTTGCCTATTGGATAATCTGCTCCTGGGCAAACAGTTAAGTGCTCTAATACTAGCCAAAAGATTGGTAGTTCAAACCCACCCAGAGGTACCTGAGAAGGCCTGATGATCTGCTTTGAAGAGGTCACAGCCTTGAAAACCCTATGTACAGTTCTACTCTGCACACGTGAAGTCACTATGAGTCGGAATTGATTCGACAGCAACTGGTACTGGTAGTTAGTCTTGGTAAAATTATAGCTCAAGATCAGCCTCTTTGTGCCTTTGTCTCTGCCACTAAAATGTTTATTCAACTGCCTCACTTGGTCCTGAGGCCCGTGTCACTCTCTCAACTAGCTGCCCGATTGCTTAGTACACTTTGTCAGTGCCTTTGAAAAATGCAATTTCTCCACTCCTCCCCTTATTCTGCTGTCAAACTCCAGTCTGATGCTGTGTTTGCTTAGTGGGTGGGATGTGTAAAATTATCCTTGGGGGGACAGTTGCTTGGTTAGTGTGTTTATTGTTACGTAGGAAGGTTGCTGTGTTGTTTTCATGAAGACTGTGATTCTAAGGAGCATTTTAAAAGGATTCTTTGGAATGTTTCTCTGAAGGTGTCTTAGGAATCAGCCATTGTTGTTTATTGATTGTAAATAACTAGGGGCCCACAAGCCCTGGACATGGAAAACAAGCTTTCATGGAATTCCCACAAGGAGCTAGGCATTTTCATAACCTTTTGTCCTTCACCCTCATAAAGCAGCAAATATTGAAAGAGTGTCATTGTTAGTGAGATTTTCTAAAGTAAAATTAAAATTTTTTATCAGTCATACCCTTTTAACTGATTCCTTCACTTTCTCCAGGTATTTGTTCAAAGGTCAGCCTTCCCGGCACAGTCAATTTAAAATTGCAACCCCTTTCTTACCTAACCTCCAGCAGTCCTTATTCTTTATTTTTCCTCATACACTCACTCATACAGTTATACATTCCATTTCTTCTCATTAGAATATGAGCTCCCTGATGGCAGAGCTTTTGTTCAGTGTGGTATCCCCAGTACCTGGAATGGTTCCTGGCACATAATATGTGTTCACTGAATATTCGTGAAATGAAAACAAAAATGTACTAAGTTGAAGCTGTGTAGTGTGGCAGGTAAGAGCTTGGGCTCTGAGCCAGGCTGCCTGTCTGTGAATCCCAGCTTTACCACTTACTGGTTGAGTGCCCTTGGCCAAGTTATTTAACCTTTGCCATAGTTTCATCACCTTTGAAATGGGGATAATAACAGTACCTCCCTGACTGGTGTAGTGAGTTGCTATATAAATGTTGGCTGTTATTATCAATTATGTCATTAAACAGGGTTCGACCTTTTGCTGCGTTAAGACTGTCATGACAGGCAGGCTGGGCTCCTCCTCTCTGCTCTGTTTCCCTCTGGTCAATAGTCTCATCACCAAATTGACCGCACTTTTCACCTGTATCCCCCACCTAAGAAGGATCATATTTGAAGACATTTTTCCCCTCAATGAAATGAGATTGAACTAATTCCCTCCCATCTCTAGCCTCTGTGACTCCCACAGAGCTTCGAACCAGTTCGTTCTGGTTCAATCTCTGCTGAGAATTTGTCTTTCCATCCCAGATATACTGAATCAGAATCTACATTTTAACAAGATCTCCAGGTGATTTTCATGTATAATAAATTTTGAGAACCACTACTCTACTAGTGGTTCCAGAATTGGTCCCTAACCAGCAGCATTAGCATTGCCTGGGCACTTGTCAGAAGTGCAAGTTCTCAGCCGGAGTTTGAACCGGCCGAACAGGTTCGAAGCCCTGGACTCCCTTTAGTAAGGTAGCTCATCTCTAGCACTTGTTTGGGAATGAGGTCCTGGGAGTCTGTGGTTTGCATGGCAGGGCCTGCCCTCCTCTGTGACCCCAGCTTCTCCAAGCCTCACTGGAATAAGTGGCCTTTGGTGTCACCTTGAAGGTTCCTGGGTGACACAAATTATTTGTACTTGTCTACTAACCTAAAGGTTGGTGGTTCAAATGCACCCAGCAGTGCCACAGAAGAAAGGCCTGGTGATCTGCTTCCGTAAATATTACAGCCAAGAAAACCCTATAGGAAAAAAAACAGAAAACCCTATGGAGCAGTTGTACTCTGTAACACTTGGGTTGCCATGAGTCAGAGTCGACTCATGGCAGTGTGTTTGGCTTTTTGGTTTGAAGTCACCTTATTACTTGGAGGTTTGGGTTCAGTTTCCAATCCTCCCACCCCCACTCCTCAGAGGGCAGTGCTGTGCAGTAGTTAGGAGCACTGGCGTTGACAACAGAACTTGGTTTGAATCAAACCCTGCCCCTTACTGTGAGAACTTGGCCAGTTGACTTCACTCAGTTTTCTTGTCTGGGAAATGAAGACAATCATTCCAACTTTGTATGGAGTTTGTTATGAGTAAAGACCATGTGTGTAAAGCCCTTGGCCTTGGGTTTGGTGCACTTTAATTCGGTCAGTTAATGGTTATGGAGCAGGTGCTGCTACCAATACTTGCTGGGTGGATGCATTTTCATCCTTTTCTAAGAGAAGTGCGTGCTTCTTTACCCTTAGCCCAGTTTTACTACAATTAAAAGATGTAGGCAAGAGAGCAAGATTCAAGGTAGATTGGGGCTTATGTTTCTTGCCAGTAAAAGTTAAATGAAAACTGGATAGAAATAAAATTTTTTAGAAAAAAAAGCAGTGGCAAAAGGTGAATTGCTAATGACTGTAGATGCAAAGTGGAGCCTAGTGGCGCAGTGGTTAAGAGCTCGACTGCTAACCAAAAGGTCAGCAGTTCGAATCTGCCAGTCACTCCTTGGAAACTCTATTAGAAAGTTCTGCTCTGTCCTGTAGGGTTGCTGTGAGTTGGAATCGATTCGACAGCACCCAGAAATGAAAGGGCTTAGCTTTGGGTTACAGGACTAGTAAACCCCAGAGTTAGGAAGACAAGCCAGGTTTTCTAGTACCAAGTTGCCATCTCAGGTACGCATAAACATTTAAGGCTCCAAGGTCAGTGCTCTTTTTTGCTTTCTCACTGCTTTTCCTTTCTTACTGATAACGGAAAACTAATAATTCGGGGTGTTCATGTTTTATTTCCACCACCTGTCTGTCTGCTGTACTGTAGTGGCTTGCATGTTGCTGTGATGCTGGAAGGTATGCTACCGGATTTCAAATACTAGCAGGTCCCAAGGTGGACAGGTTTCAGAGGAGCTTCTAGACTAGGAAGAAAGGCCTGGTGATCTACTTCCAAAAAATTAGCTAAATGAAAACCTTACTGGATCACAGCAGAACAGTGTCCAACTTGCTTGCTTTGGACATACCATCAGAAGGGATCAATTGCTAGAGGACATTATGTTTGGTGAGGTAGAGCACCAGTAAGGGCAAAGGCGACTTCAGTGAGATAGATTAGCACAATAACCACAATGATGGATTCAAACATGAAGATGATCGTGAGGATGACACAAGGAATCGGTAACATCTGGGTAACATTTTGTTCCGTTGTATATAAGGTCGCCTTGAGTTGGCTTCTCATAGATAGATATGTCTATCTGTGCTATGAGTCAGAATCAACTTGACAGCAACAGGTTTAGTTTTTGTTTATCTATGTTTTATTTGGAGCCCTGGTGGCACAGTGCTATGGCTGCTAACCAAAAGGTCAGCAGTTTGAATCCACCAGCCACTCCTTGGAAACACCATGGGGCAGTTCTACTCTGTCCTGTAGGGTCGCTATGAGTCAGGATTGACTCGATGGCAACGGGTTTGGTTTTTTATGTTTTATTTAAGGATTCTCTCTTCTCACTCTTAGGCATCTTTCATGTTTTCTTATCTTCTTTCTATAACAGTTTTTCCTCAAAATGTGGCCTTTTTACCATATGATTCAACAAATCCACTCCTAGCTATATGTTTCAGAAAAATTGAAAGCAGGGACTCAAACAGATACTTGTACACCCATGTTCATTGCAGCATTGTTCACAATAGCCGAAAGATGGAGACAACCCAAGTGCTCATCAACAGATGAATGGATAAACAAAATGTGGCAAATATTGTATGATTCCACTTACATGAAATGTCTAGAATAGGCAAATTCATGGAGATAGAAAGCAGATTAGTGATTGCCAGATGTGGGAGGGAGGGAGAAATGGGAAGTTATTGCTTAATGGATAGAGCTTCTGTTTGGAGGGATGAAAAAATTTCAGAAATAGATAGTGGTGAAAGTTGTACAACGTTGTGAATGTAATTAAAACCTGAACCTGTTTGCTGTTGAGTCGATTCAGTTAGCTGACCTTTCGGTTAGCAGCCAAATGCTTAACCACGGCACCTCCAAGGCTCCTAGTGAATGTAATTAATGTCACTGAATTGAACACTTAAAAATGGTTAAAATGGCAAATTTTATGTTATATATATTTACCACAATAGTTTTTTTTTAATGTGTACTTTAGATAACTTGCACATTTTTTATATTCTCTAAACCAGACTCCCTTGGGGAAGGAACCCAGTAGCCTGTTTTTTTAACAAACTTGCCAAGTGATTCTAAGGTCCACTGAAGCATTTGGTCTACAGCGCTAGTGGGTGTGGACATGCCTTCCTTTGGCTGTCGAGGTCATTCCTGTGGGTCTTTCCTTGTCTGATTAGTCAACATGAGGCACAAAAGGATGGGATCAGTGTCAGTTTGAACAACTCCATGGTTATTCCTGGAAATAAAAGTCTCTAACTTCATGCTGGAGTCCCTGGGTAATGCAAACAGTTAAGTGCTGGGCTACTAACGAGAAGGTTGGTGGTTTGAACGCACCCAGAGGTGCCTCGGAAGAAAGGCCTGGCATCCTGCTTCCGAAAGGTCATGGCCATGAAAACCCTGTGGAGCACAGTTCTACTCTGCAACGTATGGGGTCACTGAGAGTCAGAATCAACTTGGTGGCAACTGCCTTTTTTCCAGGTTCATGCTAGAAAATGATTCATATTTTCTTTGCCTTGATATGTAGGTAAGATTCAAAATTCAAAGTTTTAACCTCAACTAGAGTTTGGGGATGGTTCTTATTTTCTCTAAACTACTTCACAAACATTTTAAAACATGACCCAAATGTTCGAAATATCGTCAAGGGCATAGCAGCCTGCACCAGTTTCTAAAAATAGACCTTTCTGGTACAGGTCACTAAGCAGCAATGGCCTCCGTGTCACTCTGCTTACACAGTTTCACATCTGACACCTTCACAACAACAGTGCTGACTTGAAGCTCGAGGACCCACATCAGTCTGTGGGAATTCTTGGTAAAGAGCAACCTAGGGCTGCAGCCTGGTGAACATTCAGCATATCCTTACCGAGATCAGCGGTGTTTGGATTAAGGGCCCTTTCAGCCTCTGCTTCATGATTCCGTGTCCCCTTTCCATCACTGTCTCAAAGTCAGGGGCAGAGGTCAAAGTTCCAGGTTGCTCCAGAGATACTAAACGAACAGAAAAATGAGCTCACATGCAGGAATTTAAGACCCACAGTGTTTTGTTTTGAATCTATCTTGCATTTTTCCTCTTTGCAAACAGGTGGGTTTACAAAGCATCATATAGTTGCAAACTTAATTCGGGACCTTTAAATAAAACATTGAGAAAAGGCTTATTTGTCTTTGGTATTTTCAAAACAGTTCTGCAGTAGTGAGAGGACCTTTCTTTTTATGTCATAATTTGTGTACAACCCTGTCTCGTCCCCCAAATGCACAGACAACGTGGGTGGTATTAGATTTGCAGTTTCTTGGGATTAACATTCTCAAATGAAGAAAATGGGATGAAGGAATGAGGGTACTTAACATTAAATATACATGAGGTGACCTAACTGGACCACCAGGCATTCACATTCATAGGATTCATGGTAGGTTCTGAAGAAGTGCATTAAATTGGATCGAATTTAGAATACTACTTATAGGAATCAATTTTAATTTATGTATTAGCCTACCATCTTTTTTTTTTTTTTTGTGGTAAAGTATATATAGCATAAAATTTTCTGTTTTAGCTACTTTGAAGTGTACAATTCAGTGACATTAATTACATTAACAATGTGTGCAACCATCACCACTGTTTTTCCAAAACTTCCTCATCATCCCAAACAGAAACTCAGTACCCATTGAGCACTAACTCCTCGTTCTCCCCTCTCTCTAGTTTACTAATCTACTTTCATCTTTATGCGTTTACCTATTTTAGATATTTCATATAAGTGCAGTCATTCAATATTTGTCCTTTTGTGTCTGACTTCTTTCACTCTGTGAATGTTTTCAAGGTTCATGCCTGTTGTAGTCTGACATCTTTAAATAATTCTAGTAAGCAGTTAAAATGTTAGCTTTGGCTGTTGTAAGCATTTTTGTCTTTATCCTCTCATTTAATTCCCACAACAACCCCATGAGGTAGGTGTTATTATTATTACCGTTGTTGTTAGGTACTTTTGAGTCTATCCCGACTCATAGCGACCACATGTGACAGAGTAGAACTGCCCCATAGGGTTTTCTAGGCTATAATCTTTATGGGAGCAGATCACCAGGAGCTGCTGGGTGAGTTCAAACCACCAGCCTTTCTGTTAGTCGAGCACTTAACTGTTGTGCCACGAGGGCTCCTTATTATTGTTACTACATCTGTATTTTACAGATGAGGAAACTGAGACTTTCGAGAGGGCAACCTAATCAAGGGGGGCTCCAGTCTATCTGACACAAAAGCCTAAGCTTTTCAGCCAGTGTGTTTCAGATGAGCTGGTTTTCTGTGCCTGCCCAAACACCAGAACCAGTGGGTTCCTCAGCCTTTGACTGACCACAGGCTGGGCTCTCCCAATGCTTTTATTTATTTTGCTTTAAATGCCATACACACTGGTGCCTTTTGTTTCCCCAGCAGTGTTGATTCACATTCTCTTAAATAAAGTAACCGTCCTATCTTGTCTAACTCATTTGATGGAAGCACATCCACATGCCAATAAAAATAGAAATGGGGGAAACAGCACAGCAAGAAGGGAGGAAGGATAGGGGGTTTTATGGCTTACCAAGATATGAATATAGGCTCATCATTTTTCACTCCTCTTCCCACCTCCCCACCACCCCAAAAAAACCCAAAAAATTCACAGCTTGGTTCCAATTACTGTTTGTTCTGTAATTTTTTAAGTGATTGAAATACCTGGTTAATATTGAAATGTTGGAATAGTCACTGTTTTGTAAGAGGACAGTTGTTCTAATGAGATGGTATCATTTCTCTCCCAAATGGTAGATGATTGGTAAGTGTTGCTGAGTTTAAGTCCTGAACGTACTAGTACTTAACCATAGCCCTAGAAGTCCCTTTGTCCATTGCAGGACGGACTCTACTCAGATCTAATCAGTTTCTGAAGGAGTTGAAATTTGTCTTTATGCTCTGTTCTTGCCAGCACCCTAATGAAGCCCCCTGGCTTTTACCCATTTTGGTACCCACTGCTCTCTGCACTCGCCCTTTGCCTCTCACTCAAATCTTTCCTCCCTAGAAAGGGTTTCTCCACATTTGTCTCTTTCCTGCTGGTTCCTCATCCAAACTTACCTTTCCACTTCTTGCTGGCTCAGAACCTTGCTGGGGGATGACTTGCTAATCTCCAAAGACATGGCTCAGAATAGTAAAAGTCCTTGAAACTACAAGATATTACACTAATATAAAATGGGTGTAATAAAGCTATTATTCCTATTTTAAAAGGCTATTTTAAGAAGACTCTCAACAAGATGGATTGACACAGTGGCTGCAACAATAGGCTCAAACATAGCAACGATTGTGAGGATGGTGCAGGACCGGGCAGCGTTTCATTCTGTTGTACGTGGGGCCACTATGAGTAAGAACCAACTTGACGGCACCTAACCACAACAATTTTACAGGTTATGAATGTTTTAACATACAGGAGTGTGTTTCCAGTGGTGTGATCTCAGGTGACAAATTGGTTGGAGTTCTCTGGATAGCCTTCAAGTCATGGACAGAGGGTGACCTCAGCCTCATAAAGCTGACCTTGACCAAGTCAGTCTCTGTGTTCAGGAGCCTGCTCCCTCATGGACTCCTCCCAGTGCAGTGAGCTGGAAGCCTTAGTGGCCGGTGATGGTGGGCCCTGGAGGTGAAGTTAGAGGAGATATGTCAGATACCCTGACACTATAGACAAAATGCCCATTTTGTAATTTTGGAATCACTATACAGGGATATTGCGATAATTCAAATATGATGTATTATTGCCTAGTGCTGCCATAACAGAAATACCACAAGTGGGTATCTTTAAAGAGCAGAAATTTATTTTCTCACATTTCAGGAGGCTAGAAGTCTGAATTCAGGGTGTGGCTCTAGGAGGAGGTCCTTCCTTGTCTATTTCAGCTTCTAGTAGCCCCCAGCAGTCCTTGACTTTCCTGGGCTTATAGATGCATCTGTCTCCATCATCTGTTTTCCTCTTGCCCCCGTGTGAGTCTCTGTGTCTCTTCTGCTCTTTTTATAACTCAGAAGTGATTAGGTTTATGACCCACCCTACTCTGATATGTACTCATTAACATAACAAAAGAAACCCCTTATTTCCAAACAGGGTCATATTCACAGGTACAGGGTTAGGATTTGAACACATATTTTTGGGGGGATACAATTTAATCCATAACATGTGAATATTGACATCTTGAAGATATTGAAAAGAAAATGACCAGTAGTATATTGTTGTCTACAGGGAGGGTTTTATCCCAAGCTAGTTTTCCTCTGCCACCCAACGGCTTTGTAAATATTAACATAGGTTTGAAACCTATGCACAAATTGGGGTTTAGCTATGTCAACTGCCCTCAAATGGCACAATACTGAGTGAGTGAGATTTGCGGATTGAAGTAAGCAGTGGGATGACAGGACACTTCAGCAACCTTATTACATCGTGTCCATATGCAATAGTAGGTCATGTGGAGGGTTGCCAGATTTAGCAAATAAAAATAGAGGATGCCCAGTTAAATTTGAATTTCAGATAAACAATAAATAATTTTTTAGAAAAAGTATGTGCCAGATTTTATCTAGCAGTCCTAGTCACATGACAACTTAGATGTGCAGAAAAAAGGTGGGTTCTTTATTATGTCTAAACCTACCATAATCCAGTCTTCCTCACAAACCCTCACCTGCTGATTAACAAAGAAACAAAACAATAACTTTTAGTCCTACCAACCAACCAGCCAGTTGCCAGTTGACTCAATTCTGACTCATGGCAACCTTACGCATTACAGAGTAGAACTGCGTTCCATAGGGGTTCTCAATGGCTGATTTTTTGGAAGTAGATCGTCAGGCATTTCTTCTGAGGCACCTCTGGGTAGACTTGAACTGCCAGCCTTTCAGTTTGCAGTGAGCTCATTAACTGTTTGCACCACCCAGAGACTCTACTTTCACTACTAGCCAAGTTTAAAGTTAGCTTGGTCTAATCATTCGAACAGACCCTTGAGGCAACGCTCAGTCTCTAAAATAAAATGCTCCCTCTTCTGTCTCTGCTGCCCAGCTGCCACAACAAAATGATGTCTGAGGGTTTGGGGCAATGGCGAGGAAGTAGTTCAGGTCTTTGGACACAGTGTACCCTGGCCCCTAGGCTCTGTCCCTAGACTTCCAGTCACTGCTGGCCTCCCATACTGATGAACCTATGGTCACTTTTGGCCTGGGCGCTGGTCCTGGGATCACTGGAATCCCCCCACTTGGAGATTCAGCCACTGTTCAGCTCTCATTGGCTTCAGACACATGAGCGTTTTCCAAGTTCTCCATCCTGACAACCCCTGGCCCAGAGGTCCACCGTGGGACCGACCACCTTGCCCCATCATAGCTGCTACTTTGCCGCTCTACTGGCATGCATCCCACGTCTGAGTTTCTTCCTTCTGGTGGGACCACTCCTCTATCTACATTGAGTTGGGCCTGGCCCTTCTCCACAGTGACCTTCTCCTAGAGTCTCAAAGGGAGCAACGGGGCCAAGATTCCCTGATACTCTTGACATTCCAAGCCTCATTTATCTCACACTCTTGTCTTCTTCTCCATGAGGCCAGAGAAGTGAAATCAGAACTTGGTTTTGACTGCTTGACTTGTCACCATTCTCTCCTTCATTCCACAATACCCTGGGATTGGAAGGGCTGTACTGTCCTGGTATTTCTTACTCTACTCTGTGCTCCCCTTCTTCCATAACTGCAAGCCTCCTGTCTTAGGCAGGAGGGGTATCTTCTTTACACTCTGGGGAAAATTTGGTGATTGGAATCCTCTAGGCTTAACCCTGGATAAGTTACAGAAGTTCTCTAAAGTGTGGTTGCTGACTAAGAGCTTGTATGACATGCAAATTCTTGGACCCTGCTCCAGACCTACTGAATCAGAAACTCTAGGGGTTCAGCCTAGCAATCTAGCAAGCTTTCCAGGTGATTCTGATGCATGCTAAAAAATTATCTACCTCTCCTGCCCTACCACCCCGTCATATGATTTTCAAGCCTAAAGTCTTATTAAACAGATTAAGTACTCCCTCTCAGCCTAATTGATTGATTAACTTGCGAGATAAACTGGAAACATTTTATGGTTTTACAAAAGGAATTTGCTGACACATTTGAACATAATCCTGGAGTTTAAGGTTCAGATCTAAATTTGAAACAGATGATCCTGATTTCACTGGACCTTACTGGAGTTTCCGAGCTACCTAAAGTCTAAGAGGAAGCTAGCTAAATAGATCTGACTGTATTTAGAATTCAAATATGGTAGTTGGTCTCATGGTGGCTGTTGAGATCAAAGGCAATGTATACTTGGAACTTTTGCATATATCAAGCTTAAAAACCCCTCTGAATAAATTGACTCCTTGTGGTCTAAATCCTTCTACATAAATAGTACTGGCAAGTTTTTCCCATCTGCCAAAAGGGTGAGCCATGGGGTAGAGCCTGGCAATTTACTATGTCCAATGGCTTGAATAGGAGGAGTCTTCTAGGTCCCTTTATTTTTTGACCATTGCAATCATTTGGCGTCAGGTAGATGATTCCATCCTCCCTAAAGGTAGTACCAAGGAGGGAGTGGTATTGGCAGATGGTGGTAGCTTTAGACTCCTCTTCCCACCCCACCCCTAATAATATGCATTAGTTGCCCACTCAATAAAAAATAATATTCTTTGACAGAAACAATTCATGTTTTCTCAGTCTCGTTGCTGTTGTTAGTTGGCATTGCGTCAGCTCTGACTCATAGACACCTTATGTATAACAGAATGATAAGTTGCCCTGTCCTGCACCATCTTCATGATCGTTGGTATGTTTGAGTTCATTGTTGCAGGTATTGTGTCCATCCAACCCATTGAGGGTTTCCCTCATTTTCGCTGACCTCTACTTTACCAAGCATCATGTCCTTTTCCAGTGGCTTGTCTTTCCTGATGACACGTCCAAAGTAAGTGAGCCAAAGTCTCGACATTCTCCCTTCTAAGGAGCATTCTCGTTGTATTTCTTCTAAGACCGATTTGTTTGTTTTTCTGGCAGTCCACAGTATATTCAATATTCTTTGCCAATACCACAGTTCGAGTGCATCAATTCTTTTCTGTCTTCCTTTTTCATTGTTCAGCTTTCACATGCATATGAAGTGATTGAAAAGACCATGGTTTGGGTTGGGCACACCTTAGTCATCACAGTGACATCTTTGCTTTTTAAAACTTTAAAGAGGTCTTTTGCAGCAGATTTGCCCAGTGCAAGACATTGTTTGATTTCTTGACAGCTGCTTTCATGGATGTTAATTGTTGATCCAAGTAGAATGAAATCATTGACAACTTCAATTTCTTCTTCATCAATCTTGTTAAAGGATGAATAAAAGCATCTTTAGGAAATTGCTCTAACCTAAGTAAAAACAGAAGATTTACTATGCAGAACACAGCTTCAAAATAATTTCCCTACAACTCCTTTTACAACCAAATTACCACCCATAAGCACCTCTTATATGAGATTCTGTAGCCACCACTTTTCTAATCCCATTTCCTTGATGTACAAATTTCCTGAAAGTGAGAAAAAGCTTTAAACATCTCCAGTCCTGTCTCAGAGCTGTACTCACACTAGACAATGTTCTCATAAATCCCAGGAAAGGTAGGTAAGACCTATGCCAGTAAAAGATAGTGATGTCTTTTTTTTTTTCCCCCGCGTTCATTAAGTTGCTTAAAAAAACAAAAAACAATAATCCCTAGGCAATAAATAATAGCTTTCAAAACTCCTCCACTATACGGCTGTGAGGACCATGGTCTCGGGGAACATCTAGCTCAGTTGGCATAACACACTTTATAAAGAAAATATTCTACATTCTACCTTGGTGAGAAGCATCTGGGGTCTTAAAAGCCTGTGAGCAGCCATCTAAGATACTCCACTCGTCTCACTGCTTCGGCAGCAAGGGAGAATGAAGAAAACAAGATACAAAGGAAAGATTAGTCCGAAGGACTAATGGACCACAAGTAACACGGCCTCCACCAGACTGAGTCCAGTACAACTAGATGGTGCCTGGCTACCACCATGGACTGCTCTGACTGGGATCACAACAGAGGGTCCCGGACAAAGCTGGAGAAAAATGTAGAACAAAATTCTAACTCACAAAAAAAGACCAGACTTACGGGCCTAACAGAGACTGGAGAAACCCCAAGAGTATGGCTCCCAGACACCCTTTTAGCTCAGTAATGAAGTCACTCCCGAGGTTCACCCTTCAGCCAAAGATTAGACAGCCCCATAGAACAAAACGAGACTAATGGGGCACAATAGTCCAGGGACAGGACTAGAAGGCAGGAGGGGACAGGAAAAAAAAAAAAAAAACTCCTCCACTATAATAATTCTTATAATGTGAAGCATGAACTTCTAGTATCTTAGCTGGTGCTATTGTAACACAAATACCACAAGTGAATGCCTTTAACAAATAGATATTTATTTTCTCACAGTTTAGGAGGCTAGAAGTCAGAATTCACGGTGCCGGCTGTAGGGGAAGGCTTTCTCTGCCAGCTCTGGAGGAAGGTCCTTGTGTCTTTGGACTTCCGCTCCTGGGTGATCCTCATGTGGCTTGGCATCTCTCTTCCCCCATCGCTGCTTTGCTACCTTTTGTTTAATCTCTTTTATATCTCAAAAGAG